AAGGCCTATCTATGAGCAGAATCAAGTTTTTGTTCACGGCCCTCACCATCTTCATAAAGGGACCGTCATCGCCGTCGAGTTCAATGTCCTGGGCTCGAACGTTGCACCATGTTACCGTGGCTAATTCTTCTAGCTATAACGGTGGACAGAAATCACGGTAATTCGGATGCATCGGATCCAGTGTCTTAAGGAAGCTCGTATGCTGCGACTAAACGCCCCAGTAATCTCGGTACTAAAAAAGTCAGAATAGAATAGCTCCAGCTACCCCCAATTCGAATATCAGATGCAGAATCCTGCTCCTTCTGGAAATTCCGTGCCTCAAATAGGGAAAAATACTATGGAAGCTCACTCTTGAGACTCTTAACTGCCATGGACAAAAAGTAACCTGGCTTACCTTATTCTGGCCTTCTCAACAACAACAGAGCATCTGGCCTTGACGCAAGAAATTTTCAAGGAGGGATTTCCTCACATTATTCGTAGTAGTTGTTAAAGGCAAGAATCAGGATTGAATTGATGGGGTGATTCCACTCAAATGTGAAAGTAGGGATGGGAGGTGGACCGCCAGTGGAGAAAAAGGAAAGAAAATCCTGAAATACACAGGAAATACGAGCATTTTGCTCTATGCTGTGGAGAAGTTCAAAAGACAGGCAGGGAGATGAGAGATAATGTGAGCGCGGAGAGCGGTAGAGAAGTCCGAGAAGAGAGAGCATAGCAGATCAACGGCGACGCAGACAAGATATCGAACGGTGGGCGGACCATGTTAAGTTTGGTGGAGTCTGTTAGAAGTCCATGGCGCCTAGGGTCCTAGTGACGCGTTTCGATGTAGAAAGGTGGCGCTACCTTTGCACTTGCGTACCCAGCACTTCTAGCCATGGTAAGGGCTTCTTAGGTGGGTCTGAGCCCGAACTTTGCCTTTAAGGAAACGCTGTCGAACTGGGCATTCTCGCCCCAATTCAGCTAAATTTTCTGCTTAGTAAATCACAAAAGCAAAGGGGATTGCGAGACTTTGAAAAACTTGAATATCCTGTAGAAGACGCAACTGAAAAATGGAATTCATTCAGACGCGTCTTACCTGCGCACCAACGAGCATGCCTTTCACCTTTGTCAATCCGTTATTTTTCGACGATACAGTGTCTTGATTACCTTTGTACACCCTCTATCTATACGGTCCATGCATTCTTCGTCGAGTTCGTCTATGGCAGGAATAGCAGCGTTGTTTTCCGTCAACAGTTTCCACCAAATCTGAAACATCTTGTGGTATCTCTCTTGTTTGGCTGGTTGTCAGAGTCAGCGATGTGACGCGCGATTCGCGCGAATCGCAAAAATTGCAAGTGCCCCATTTGAACATTTGAAACACTGAATATGAAACAAGTAGAATCATGAACAGTCGTCATTCAACCATCACCATCAAGCAGAAATGGCGGCGGGATTGGAGAACACCAGTATTGATCGGGCACTTGTGATTTCTGTGATCCATCGCACGACGGATCGCGACTCTAACACCAGCCTTTCGTTTTTCCGGGACATTTCAAACCAATTTCTACCATTTTTCAGAGCAAGTTGCAAATTTTTGAAAAGTACAATCTCAAGTATGGGTTTAAAAAATCCTGGGTAGAAGGTTTCGGTTGATCTACGGATTCCTTTGGTCTTTTCATTCTTTTCCCGAGATTATAGTGAGAAAAATGGATAAATGCATAGCGCACAGAGCTGCCGTGGAACAAACAGTGTTTCATTTGCAGGGACATCGCCTCAAATCTTCTCTCTGCCCTTCATGCAGGCCTATTTTCCACTCTGTCATCTCTTCAGTCCTTAAGAATAACACGAAACAAGATAAAGTCGATAGAAAGCCACACATTCCGAGGGATGGCAGCACTGGAATCGATGTAGGTCTCTATTATTCATTTTTCGTATTTTCGCCTTTCCTATTTTCGTTGATTCTTCAGTTAGAAATTGATTTTTCAGTGATCTGTCCAAGAATCTCATCCGGTCATTGCCATCGTTGGCGTTCCATAATTTACGATCTCTGGCGAATTTGTCGCTGGCAAGGAACGAAATCTCTAGGTAATCGAGACCCTTGTCATGACTTGTCCTCGTGGTTCACAAGCGAATTTCTTTTTTACTCTCTTTCTTTTCTGGGTTTTGTTCGAAAAACTGTAGATTATACGAAATCATTACACAATGTGGGCTTGATTCCTATTCCATTTCCCTCTCCGAATTTAGAACCTCGGTCGTAATAGTAATGTTTCCCTTCGAGGTTTTAAGGTGAAGGGTTAATCAAGCGCTGTTCTGCTCTTGGGTTGGTGAGCCGCGTGTGCTTATCTCCCTTGTTTGTGTGTTCGATGGATCTCCCTAACGTTTCCTCAGAAAGAAGGGAGACATTTGGAGGTTTAGAGGCACAGCCCAGGCAGAAGTCGTGTGAACCATCCTTTTCGGTCTGTAGAATAGACCTCCAGAGGACAATCACAAATGTGGCACTCCCGTGCATGGAAATCACCCGACAAGGGCGCTAGGGCCTTGCAAAGTAAGCTGCAGCAGCTGCAGTGTTTTCAGTTTGTTATCTGGCGCCCTCTCATTTGTTGCGCTCTTTCGCCCATGACTCTCCTTACCTCGGTTAGTTTCTCATACTCTTAACACACCCACAATCTGAGGTGAGCAAGCCTCATTCTAAGCGCTTTCACCAGATTCTTTTTCCTTTTCTCTTATCTGCTGTCCATTTTGCATCAATTCTTCCGTAACTGTGTGCAAGAACCACACCAGTTTGATCCTGGAGCATGCCTTGAAAGGACAACTCGCAAACCTTAAGCCACGTCTAGGCCTTTGAAGAAGAAGACGGCCATCAGTAAAGTCTCCACGTGCTATAAAAACCTCGACGGCAGAAGGAAAACGTAATAATTCTACTGAAAGCTTTTTCTTACATTTCCTAATTAATGGGCTCCTCCGTGCGTTTAATAGGAATACATTTTCAGACATGCACCTAACACCTTTTTTGGCGTTATTTTCTTGTTAAATTTGAGGTTCTAAAAATTTCTTTCTCGAATTCTCTATATGTTTTCTCAGTTGTCCCATTTGGCAACTACAGCTCTCTTCTCCCATCAGTACTCAAATGGTTTAACACCTCCAAACCAATTCGGATTTTCCCTTTTGAACTTGCAGGTTTCAGAGCTTATTTTGGCAATTTGCTTCACACAAAATACCGTTCAGTCTGAAGAAGCAGTTTCTGGTATTCTCTGAATGCAATGTTATACGTCATTTCAGACTTGACGACGGAGTATTCTTTGGTTGTGAATCCTTAATGGTTTTGAACATGTCGCGCAATTCACATCCGTTCACGATTTCTGATGAATTCGGCTTTTCTTCGGACTGAGCAACCTTCAACAATGTGAAGTCTACACATCCAAGTCCCTTGAGAATTCATGGGTAGCTGTTTGAAGTGGTGTGTTATCTTCGTTTCAAAGACGAAAAAAAGAAAAACCAGATAACTAGTTGTGGTAAGCACGCAACAGCGACCATAGATAACTTTGGAATTTTTCTTTGCGAGATTGACAGCGGTACGATGGAGAGGCACAGCGCTGAGAGGAGAGGGAAAATGTGAGAGAACACGTTTGTAATGCGCAGAGAGGGTGGTAGACGCCACGTATTTGGGCATCGCAATGAACGGCACCGGTTGCAGCGGTCTAGCAGAGGCAGTAGTTCCGTTTTTCACATTTTAAGTTTGACAATACGCTACCTTGAATTCCTAGGATCGAATCGCACAGTGCTTTGAGGCAATTTGTTTTGAACGCCGTTGTGCATATACTGTTACATTTCTTCATTTCTTATTCTTATCGTTGAATCTTTAATAATTTTACAGTCGGTAGTGGGAAAATTGTCCTTTGGACCTGAATAATTGTGTAAACTATGGAACTCGTTATGAGTTTATAATCGACCATATAAGTTGTATAACATACGTAAATACAGCTGTGTGTCCAAACATTAACACGTTGACGACATCGCGCGTTTTGTGCTTTTGCACCTCGTGGGACAAGAGCGATTTTGCGAGCGCAGCCGCCGCACACCAAATCCATGGATTTTAAGTTGTAAATCCGCAATACTTAGATGCGATGAAATGTTTTCAATGATGTTCGATCTGTCTAGCTTATCAGGAGTTACAGTAATGGAAGTTTGACCGAAATGACGTGTTAAGGCCATGAAAAGGGAAATTTTACTTAATTTCCCTTTAGTGGTTCCAAAATTAATTCGGACGTTGTTGTTTCAGTAAAAACACATATCATCCCATACGAATGGGTTTACATTCACTTCTCTTATTCCTTTTTATCGACATGATTATGTTATTGAAAAGAAAACGAGGAATGAATTGAACAAACATACCCGTAAGGTCTGGAAAATCTTTTGCCAAACTGAAGAATATTTGGTCTTTCTGTGAGCCATGTGGTTTTTAAGTATGCTAATGTATGACCTATAGAATGAGTACAAAGACCTTAGGAATAAGTCGCACAAGCGCAAGAAAAAGGGATGACTTGGGTGGGACGCGTTACCGCGTCACAATGTCCCACGAGGTGCGCAAAGTGGGACGCGTTACCGCGTCACGCTGTCGTCAACGTGTTAAAAGACGAAAATATATGAAGCAACATAACTTATTGATAGCTCTGAGGACCCTTTAACGGTTCCTGTTTATTGCTTTCAGTACTGAACTGTAGCAGCTCTTTCTCTGTGTGGTTAGGTTCCATACAGTTATGTTACTCGCCAGTAACACTCATGGATAAGCTACGGCTCTGTTATAAGTTTATCAATAAATATTTCGGAGTATTCGCACAGATGGGAAAAACGAAGAGCGCTATAATTGGGGCAATTAGTTTTTAGGCCTACAATCATCCGTCCCCTCTCAATTTGTGGAAAACACATTTTTTACGTTCTCGCTAGTTGTCCTGTTTTGCTGACCCGTTTTCATAATACTCTTTCTCCGCACCTACATTCTACTGAGGGTCCTGCTGCGATATCACTATATTGTCCAAAGCCTTATCCGGCAGTGGGTGCGTGTTTCTGTCTGCCTCCTGGGTCAGGTCACCTAAATTTACGGCACTCACCATTCGCTGAAGTAAGTTCTAGGACTAAGCCTGAGCCCACACATAATTAAAGGAATCTTCCACGGACCATGGACCAGTGGGCGGGACCGGAAGTTTTTGTGACGAAATGCATGGTAGGTACGGATCCACGTGTCGAACGCACGAACGTGAACAGGATTCACTTCAAACCTTCCCATGAACGTGGATCCGTACCTACCATGCATTTCGTCGCAAAACCACTTCCGGTCCCGCCCACTGGTCCATGGTCCGTGGAAGATTCCTTTAAGCATAAGTCAATGTGTAAGTATCAGTTCCAGCTTAGACCTAAACCCAAGCGGCTTTTATGATGCGCGCAGCTTCCTTGGCGACCTGACCTAGGAGGAAAACTGGTCGTCTCCCATCCCTAATGCCTCCACGTTTGCGAAGTGAATTCGAATGAATGGCACACCCCAAAGAATTTATTCAGTACTCGGAATTTTTTCTTATGTTTATTGGCTTTAACTCATACGCAACATATTTTCTTTTTCAGAGACCTGTCCCATAACCATATCGCTTCGCTCGATCGAACACGCGTGAAATCAGTGCTCGAGAATGAGGTGAGCATACTTTGTTCGAAGCAAACGCCTTCACTATTCCGTCTCGTTACTCGCTCCCAAACTTTTACCATAATCAGCTCCATTTCCTTCCATCGGGAGCGTTTAGTTTATTGACTCGACTCGAATATCTTCGACTTTCTGGCAACTCGATCGAATCCTTCCATAAGACTGCGATGACCGGCCTGGATAACCTCAATGAGTGAGTCTTTCTTCGCATTGGTGATTTAGGGAGGGGAGCAGGGTTTCATTTTAGGGTTGGGCAGTGTTAGCTACTCTGACAAAACTGTAAAGGGTGTTTTAAATACGAGATTGTAATCGAGGATTACCCCCTCCCTCCCCCCGCTCGACGGCTGTCCGTTTTTGGAGGATAAAGTGGGCGGAGTTGTGCTGTGTCGACTGGTCTCAGAGTCTCAGACAGGCCCAAATACTATATAAACAGCCATGATGACGAGGGTGGCGGTCGCGTTAGGGGGGAGTGGGTTTTAGTGGGGAAGCACCCAAGTTCATTGGTGGGGGGTCGCATCGAAACCCCTCTAAGGGGAAGAGGGGAGGGTGTCGCAAAATTTTTGTAAAAGTGCGAACGCGACGGTTGACCTTGGTGTGGACCACGACGACTTTCCACGACGAAAGGTACGCTGGTTACTGAGCAGAACTTGAGAATCGCCACGCCCCCCCCCCTTAAGCATTCCAGCTACCAGTTCAGTAGCTGATTTGGGCGAGCTGTGCTGCCAGCAGCGCATAAAAGTGTGAATTGGATCGTATTTGTGAAAGGACTCTGTTTGAGGGAGGGGCGGGGCTTTTTTGCGTGACCGTTTTTTTTTGATCAATTAAATTTTGGCTGAAATTTCGCGGGAAAAGTTTAAAATAGAGGAAATCAGAGAATTTGCTGCCGTTGCCACACGTTCGAATAAATTTCTGGAGTGGTGACTAGATTTATGTAGGAAGGGTAATTTTAGGCTTGATCTCTCGTCCAATTCACTCGCTGTCTGCTTGGAGGACAACGCCATGCTCTACAACACATCAATGCCGTTTCTGAAATCGTTGAAATTCCGAAATAATCAACTTCGGGTTATTCCGAGCAGGTTAGCGCATTGCGGCTGATTGTACCCTCTTTTGATTTCACTTGACCCTGCTCTCATTTTCGAAATTTCTTCCTTATTGTTCCTTTATTTTAATTTTTATTGCTTTTATCTTTGCAAACGTTGTTATTGCGCTGAAGACATTTTTATTAGGGCTTTTGAAAGATTCCCCGCTTTGGAACATCTCGCCCACGCTTTGGAACATCTCGATTTGAGTGACAATCCGATCACCACCGATACATCCGGGAGCATTCAGCCCACTTCAACTTCAGGAATTGTGAGTTCGAGATGCTCTTTGGATCCAATTTCCATTTTCTGTTTTTTTTACCATTTTCTTCTTGTTCTTCTGCTATCGTTTTTGTTTTCCTTTTTGCCTCAATCATTATTAATCGATCTGAAAACAGCGTCTGGGCAAAGGAAGGAGAAGGTCAAAATGAACAGCCTTTGCAGGTTCAAGGAAAGTGGCATCCGACTTGTTGTTGGTGTAGGCCTACTTACCATCTCAGTTACAAAGCGGTCATAGTGCCACAAGCGTAGCAAAAGTTTATGCGAAAGTCTAAATGGGTTATCTATGTGGACGGCAATGGCCGTGCTCCTCGAGCCACGACGCGGTTTCAAGCAGCTTGCAGACTGTACTTTACAGTGTTTTTCAGGGTCCTACGTTCTAGCGAAATATCAATTAAGCGTCCATACAAATTCTCACCTGCTCTTTGGTTGCTGATTTTCTCTCGATTTTTACACTTATTCTCGAATGCAGTATGGAACGATGGGCGCTGATTGCCGTGCCTGTGAGGAAAAAGGAAATCACTGAAAACGCTGCATATAAGAACACTTTATGATATTTTCGTGCGATGAGAGGGTCTAGTATAGAAACATCCAACACATAGTGTGCGCTGAGGCGATAGAACTGGACAAGACAAGGAATGGAGACAAGAGAGCATAATGGGTAGCCGAGCAATGTAGATAACTACGACGCCGAAACGTGTTGTTTAAAGTCCAAACTCCGGGATTAAAACTTGGATATTTATAGAGATGTAAGTGCATCGACTGACCCTCCGGGAAAGAATTGTAAGTTAAAAAGTCAAAGCGCAAGGCAAATATCGTAAACGCTGAAGTTAAGGCCTCAACCTACACTAGTATCGGATGTGGTTCGATGGCGAAACAGGGCGGTCAAGGAAGAGAAGACACGCGAGAAAGTACGCTGTTCGAGAGTGCACACTGATTTCTATAACAGCAGGGGTGGGTGGGAAGCGTTGCAAGGTGGGTCAGGTGCAGTTGCAGCCCGAAGGACGCTCTAATCGTAACGATATTGATCAGTGAAGATGGCATGATCTACGAAAGTTACGGATCCCACGATTCACTCGCAATATCCTTTCCTACGATGATTGAACTATTACCCGGTTGCTGCAAAATATTCGTGGTTGCACTCCCCAAACACCTAGAGTACGTTTCACAAATCTGAAGTCGCTAAAGTAGCCCTTCCTCAGCGACTGCGGGCCAAAAAACCTTATTTGTGAAAGAGATCAGGTCGATTTGATCTAGTCACTCGTTGTGCCTTACAAGCAGGTTTCGATCGGTCTCCTGTGAGTATCATTGTCCTTCGTAGTACTCTAGAAGGAAAAGGGACCATTTTGAGTGGTCACGTTTCAAAACAGGATTAGTCTCACATAAGCAAAAAGCAAAAAAAAATTGACGGGGTTGAGCTGAATTTGCTATCGGTTTTCACCTAAGCATTTCATATACAGGTAATTGCTGATGGCTCTGAAATTTAGTTATACTCCCTGCTCAACACGTCCTCTAAATTTCCGAATACTTTCGGTCAATATGGTTGATCTCCGTGTAAATAAAAAAAGCTTCGTGAGCTCAGTCACACGCCCACTTCACTGAACTGAATTAATCAGCGTAGCGTGGTTTAAAGGGCGAATTCACGATGAAAAAGCAACCCATTTCAAATTAACCTAGGGATGGTGAGTGGTACACGAAAGAAGGAAGAACCATGAGAAACGGCCCAGAACCCGAGAAATGGTACCCCTTCCTTGCCCGTTGATTCGAGCATTGATGCGACTCTCATCGCTGTGCCCTCTTCAACACTACGCTCTCTCAGCTATCTAATCACTCGCCACGTATTGAACTACGGCGAGTGATCAGATGATCGGTGGGCGGAGATCGCCGGACCCGCCAGCTTTGAGGCATGATAGGTCGCCGAGGTCAAATTTTTCCATGCGAATTGCGCGTCAGTTCGCACCCTCAGGAGGTCCGTGGGTCCCTCAACTAGGTCAGTTTCCCTTTCTTCGACCTTCATTCTAATCGTGAATTCCTCCTTTAAGGCCATTCATTGAGGGGATGGGGATGATCTATCCGCTTCTCGTTAATGAGTTCTCAAAATTAGTAAAAATGATTGGTCCAATTGCGTCCTTCGAATCCGCTGGTGCCCCTTATTTTTGAATTCTAACTAGGAGTTATTGCTTTATGGCTTCGTTTTCAGATATTTGGACACTTCGGCACTGCTGTGCGATTGTCACTTGGCATGGTTCTCGTCATGGTTTGTCTCTTCGAAACTCTCACGTCGCACGGTTCACACACGTTGCGCACACCCGATTCCACTCAGTGGCATCGATGTGTTCGCCATCGACTCCAACAATCTGACATGCGGTGAGCGCTGTCTGCAAAGAACGCATTGACTTTCTTCTTCCGATTTCCGGTTTTCGAAAAAAAATTGGTGAACAAACACAAAAACTGGAAGGAACTGCCTATTAATTCCTCAGAAAACCAAACCCACCTACCATAACATTTGATTATTTCGATAATTTCTCAACTTTCAGTAGATAACTATAGATAGTTGGGCGCTCATGTCGTTAGGGGGGGGTAAGTGAGTGAGCCACTTACAGTCTTACAGTACAAGAGATTGAGCCCTACGGAGGGGAGGGATGCTGGGGCAAGATGTGAGCAATTTTTATTCTCCCCGGAGTTTCTCCCCTCTCCTGGGCTTAGTCCTAGTGCCATTTGTCATCTGCCATTTTTTGAATACCTCCCCAAGGACATGGGCGCCGATAACTGTCCATGTTTTCCATATTTTCGCCTCACATCACTTCTCAAAATAACTATAACGCCTCGAGTTAGCTGAGGTATCAACTTTTTTTCCAAAGAGCGAAAAGACCTCCCATCTTTTGCTCTTTGTTGATCTGGTCCCTAAGTCAACATAATCAGTAATCTGTTGATTCAGTTGATGACTCACCTCGCGCACGGATCATAGAACATCCAGCTACCAGCGTCAGCACCTTGGTGGGAGGACAAGCTCGGTTCACGTGCTCGGGATATGGACATGCTCCACTGCAAGTTGAGGTACTCGCGATCTATTTCGATTCATTGTTTGATTTTTTTTTTTTTATTTTTGGGGTTCTTTCACACATTGGGCCGTATGCTATCCTTCCCCGAAGCTAGGTGATCCAAAGTTTCCTTTAAATTTATTTGTTTTGAACGATATAGTTTCTTCATTTTCAGTGCATGTTTACTTTTACCTACATACATACATTAAATGTAGGCCCTTTATCAGGGCAATCCCAGTTGGGAAGACAGAGAAAATTTAAAGGGATTTTCGTCCCTAACCCCTTCGACGTCATACCTTACGGCCCCAGGAGGGTGAGGCATAACGGCCCATTGAATACTGTTTTTTTTTGTTATCGCTAATTTGTCGTCCTGCCGAAAATGCTCAACTGGTCAATCGCCTCCGGTTGAGAAATATGCCTAGGTAGACAAAGCTTACATAATTGATGACGTGCCTCGCCAATAATCGAACCTTCCTTATCCCAGAAGCGATCTCTCGAAAGAAGCTTTGGAGCAGGAAAGCGTAGCGGTAGGGCCTGACTCCCAGTTAAGGAAGTCATGGGATCGACTCTGAGCAGGTCCGTGCTTTTGCTCTTTCTTGAAATGCAACATACGTTCACGTATTTCTGGAAAGAGCAAAAGCGCAGACTCCATTGGATTCTCAGTCGGGGTCACTATCGCTGTCTCCCTTGCTTCACCTTTCTTTCGGAAAAACCGCTTTGCAGTAATGAGAGCAGATTCAAGCTCAACCTCTCGATATACGTTTCGATAACTAAATGGCAGATTTTATTAGTGACAGGGTAGTTCATTGGGAAATAAGTAGAGGTGGCTGGTGAGCAGGGATAGACGAACCATGTGAAACCACCCTGAACCCGAAATGGGACCCCAACTGATTTTTCAGTATTGACCAGCGACCCTTCGTCTTGTGCCGTCTTCAAACATACGCCTTTCTGTTTATCTGAATCATTACCGCCACGTATAGACCCTAGGTCGAGTGAGGTTGGATTGTCGGTGGGCGTTCTGGCAGTGCGCAGGGGGGGAAGGCCATTGTAAGATCGCCAGGGGCATAGTTTTTCGATACGAATTGGAGGTTGTTCGACATCCTTAGGGCGTTCGCCTTGACTTCTCCTCCAGGTAAATTCTCCTTTTCGACCTTTATTCTTATCGAGAAAATTCCTACTTCAATTCTCATTTTCATGGCGCAAATTTGGAACTAACTTTTCTGTGAGTGGTTCTTCCAGTATAGGGCAACTATCGTAGTCGCGAACAGCTCCTAATCCACTTTCGCGCTTCTTTCTTCGCCCTCTTGTGTTCTGGTTATTTTCAAGATTTTTTGAGCTGGCAGCGCCACACCCTTAATACCGTTAATAATAGCCTGTACACGAAGAAATCCACGGTTTTTTTTTGTGATGGATGTCTCAGTAATCTGTTTTGCACAACCCACACCCTCCCTGTGAAAGTCAAGCAGATAAGGGGATTGCTATTGTTTAGATAGCACATATCATAGGCCAATGTTTCTTGTGAGAATAAAGAACGTATTGAAGGTTTTCGGAAAATTTGGAAGGGGACGGCTTTTTCGCATTTTGAAGGCTTTGAGAAACATATTCATTCCGATAAATGGTGCTTCTAGAAGACCCATTTAGAAAGTGCAATTTTGGAGATAAACTGGATTGCTTAAATTAATCTACCATTTTTAGTGTGCGCGTCTATTGAAGAATGGCTCCGGTCCTAACGAACGTTATGTGTTTCACTGACTGCGAGCCGACACATCATGAACGTCAAACCATCAGCCGCGAATAGGTGAACGGTTTGGAGGTTAAAGGTTTTGAAATTTATTTACTGAAGTCCCTAGTATTGCTATTATTAGCAATGCAAACATTTTTTGAGTCTGAAATATTTTTTGCAAAGGTGAGAATCATGATTAAATGCATTGGCAATCCCATTCAAGTATGGAGGTAGGGCAATTAGAGAAAAGGGAAAGAAAATCTAAAACACATGAAATGCGAGGTTTTTCCCTTTGCGGTGGGGATAAGTCTAACGGTAAGAGGCAAGCAAAGAAGATTGCAAGATATGAGTTGGACAGGAGGGCAAGTAAGCAGGGTCAACCGTTACGTTGGACCGATATTGGAGCGACGTTGGACCGATGTTGACCGCTCTCCGCGCCGGCATTCACTCTCGCCACCCGCGAGCCGTCTGTGTCTCCGTGCGTACGTTCACTCTCGGCATTACTCTCGTCGTCGCGTTGGACTTTGTCCGGGCGCACGCATAGTCGGTCGTCCGACAGCAACGATCGCAACTGTCTGACTGTCTAACTGCATCTAATCGTCGAATACTCAGGCAAGTCCGACGATCGATACGCATCCAATGCTGTGCGACAGTTACGATCGTTGCTGTCGTCCGACCGACTATGCGTGCGCCCTAACGGACGTTGTTGACCCTGCGAAGTAAGTCCAAGTAGATGAGTGGAGCAGCCACTGCGACGCATACACATTAGTTATAGCGAGAGTGGGCGAGGCTCTGTTCTCTTCATAGGTCTGATCTAACTTCTTTTATGGTTATCTTGGTGACGCGTTTCGATATAGGTAGCGAGATCTGTGCAAAGGCGGACCACCTCGATCCATGGCAGCGACTACTTCGGTGAGGCTTTACCTTGCCTCTAAAAAACTCCGAAATTTACCAAGGAACGAAATTGCAGCTTGAGAGCCTTACATGAGTTAGTTTAAAAGTGGTGACCCTGTTGGTGATGGAGCATCTGCACCTAAAAAGCGAGGTTTAGAGAACCTGTTATCACATCATAAAAAATGATTTGAAGAACCAAACTTTATTAACGATTTTTACTGTTGCAGTTTACCGCAAAACTATTTATAAGTAGAAAATTACATAATATAGATACATGCCGTAGAATGATGTACTATTGGAAAAATGAATATCTTTACAGGAACCATCAATGGTCAAGAGTTAGCAAGCGCCGAGTTGCTGCTACTGGACGTCTCGACGTCGGATCGAGCAGAGTACCAGTGTGTGGTTCGGAATCGATTCGCTGCTGAACATAGTATTCGATCAGTGCTGAAGGTACGCCACTTTTTCGAATGTTTCGTGACAGCGGGGTCTTATTAAGAGGTCGCAACGTGGGAGCGATTGTGTGATTTCGACGCGCAGCCTACGGAATATCTTCAGTTATGTTTCGCGCTAGGTTCTTAGAAGATTTATGAACTTATTTCTTCTCGTTCTCTTTTCTCTACCTTACGTCTATCTATAGTAGATAGGTGATCGACGAACCTTTGCCTGCTTGAGTTCATAGTTCTCACGAGGGGTTCGGTACATCAAAAACTTTGCTCGAGGGATACCAATCCGCAATGATCACGAGGAAGTCGTGGACCCTACTGGCAAAAGTAGATTGAACAAGCGCAACTTTCCCATTTAGCGGCCCTCACCGTTAGTTTGCCTAGCCGATCGTGAGCTGCAAACGCTCAGTTCTCTCTACCAGCACCCAACCCTAATTATAGCACCCTTTTCTCCTGCCCTACTATACCTTGTGAGGAAACAATCATTTCCTCTCCTCTGAGTGAGGGAAAGGTAACGCGTTGGCCTGCCTAAATGCCCTTCAATCTGATAGCTTTTTCAGATATTCCAAGTGCCGATCTTCTTGAATGAGCCGGACGACATGTCATTGCTGGTCGGGCAAAATGCAAAGATTATGTGTGCTGCCACAGGTGAGTTTATCACGAGAGCGATAGCGGTTTTTTAGCGAATTCCTAAAATTTCCCAGTTTACTCGATCAGGGTGCATTGCTCGTTTGCTTTGCAGAATCTCGCTGCCACAAAAATATGTTTCAATAAACAAATACTACTAAGAAAACTAAAACTAAGTTATTTCAAAAACCTTACTAAACTGGCTTGGCGTAGTCCCTGTCTTGGAGAAACCTAATATTCATAAAAAATAGAAGTTGTCCATAATTTCGTTGACCTATTAATAGGCTGAAAGAGGGAGGACTTT